TAAAATAGTCTTTTACCATGCCATTACTGGTACAACTACATAACCATGAACAGCGATGCTTTGGCCTGAGTAGGACTTCAACTTTAAACCAACTGTTTTTATAGGGAACTGGGTGAGATGTGACTGGTAATACTTGTCACTTATCATTGACACTGCTGATCCTGTGTCCAGCAACATGGTGGTGTTTTTGCCTCCAAGTAACACGTCAACTGTGTAACCTTTGTCACTGGAAGCGACAGAATAAACTTCAAAAAGTTCAGCTTCATCATTTCTTGTTGATGCATCGTCGTCAGTTTCCACATATTGAGTTTGCTATCTGTTTTTTTTCATTCCTGCAAGCACGAGCAATGTGTCCTATTTTTGCACAAACTTGACATTGTTCATTTCTAAATCTGCAGTCGCGTGCCAAATGTTTTCCACCACATCAATAGCATGGTTGCTTTGTTGCTGTATCTTTTTTAGACCCCATCCGGCTCTTAATTTTATTTTTTTCCTCTTTTGTGTTTTGTCCCTTCCACCCTCTTGTAGAAAAAATGGAACATTTGTCAGGGCATTTACTTGGTGAGGATCATGGTGTCCAGAAAACTCCATAGTATTCTTGGAAGCAAGTTCCATGCTCACGGCAATCTCACACGCACGTGAAAAAGTAAGATCTTTTTCTGCTAGGAGCTTGTGCTGCACAGCCTCCGAGCGCAACCCTCTAACAAAACGATTTCTCAGCGCCTCATCTAAATATTGTCCAAAATTACATGTGGCTGACAACTGCCTCAAGGCGACAACGTAGTCTGATACTGGCTCCCCCTCTTTTTGGTTATGTTTTTGGAAGTGAAAATGCTCAGCTATCACCACTGGTGTCGGCTTATAGTGTGTTTGTAACACTGCAGTGAGCGCTGCATGCTCCATTGTGCTTGGTACTTTCGGAGACACAAGATTCTTTAGCAGCCCGTCTGTATCTACTCAGATCACAGAAAGAAAAGTGCAAACCATCTTCTCATCCGGAACATCATTGGCCAACATCGATTGCTCTAAATGTTCCAAATATGACTGAAAATATTCCTTCGATTTATCATATTCAACTACACGACCCACGTGCATAGCCATATTAGCTTCTTGATGCTAAATCTTGTAGCCTTGAAAATAAAAACATACGGTTGTTTCCCTTACTGCCAAGCTCATATCTTTTATGCTGTGGAAATCTTTATCATCCTCGTCAGCAGTTGTGATATTCTTGGGTTGGAAGAATCACGCAGAAAACATGTGGGTACGATGTCTTATTATCGTGGAACGCAGAGAACATACAGCCACATCAATACTGATTTTCAGCAAACACATTCCAATAAATTGGCTGACTCAGAACTATACCTGGAACTGGTATATAGGTATTTCTTACCAGTAGGGGGCAACAAACCACTCTATTACATCTTCTTTATTATGCATTTTATGGCTAATGCGACTTAAACTCTGGAGCGACTTATAGTCCAGAAAATATGGTACACCTTATTTTTTGATGCTAAGAAAAATGTAACTTTGTATGCATTGCGTCTTAAGTTGGGGTGCACCGATTGCAGTTTTCTGGCTGATCGCCGATTACCAATCTCTTAAAAGCCTGGCATGCCACTTTTGATTTTGGTTGACACCAAGTTTTGTCTTAAATGTCGCTAAATATAGCAAAAACCTTGCTGAGTTTGCAACAGGGCCACTATTGTTATCTCTAAACATGCAGACCTGACCTGGTGGTCCGGTCTATCAGTTAAACCTCTCTCATAGCAGAGCAGAAGAGAACAGTGACTCATTTTTAAACCACTTCTGAGGTAGATAAGATCGGTGGATACGATTGGCTTCACATGCAAGTATTGGCCAATCAATACTTGCAAATTTAAGGTAATCAGTGCCGATAAATGGGCCAATGAATGTATCCTATATTCTACTGCCATGAAGGATATAATGTAAATATCAATGTCAGAGATGCAATAATCTTAGCAGGTGTGCAAGAATGATCAAATAACCTAACTGTTGATTGTGTCCAGTCCACATTATTAGCAGAACCAGAGGGCCCCAAACCCAAACTCTGTTTAGGGCCCCATGGAGTCTCTGGCTGGCCCTGATCACATTACATGGGACACGTGACTGCTTCATTTTGTGTAACAGTTTTCAAAATAAAAGGACGATGAGCCAGCCTTAGAGTATTGTACAGAATAGGCTGAGCATCAGAGGAGAGAGTTTGTCTTCAGCAGTGGCTGAAAAAAAAAGGTACATTTACAGACATATTTTATGTTTTGGCAATTTTGATGATGGTACCAAAATGTAAAGTTTGTCACCTTTTTTCTCAGTTGTTGACTGCATGGTGTTTTTAGACTATATTTCTGTTTTTATGATATAAAGCACTTTGAGCTGCATTGTTGCTGAAATGTGTCACTGCCGTGGAAAAAACTATTTTACAAAGCACTGTCAGGTGAAATCACTCAATCAGTTTTATTCATCTATTGAGCTTGTAGGACAATCAATAATGAAGTAGGTCAATAATGAAAAGCTTTTCAAAAATGAAAAGCTCTGCAAGGCAGGAAAAATGCATGAGTTGTATAGCAAGGCTAAGGAATTCAAAACAAGGGGCGAGACAGTGATTCTGATGCAGCTGGAGGAAACCACTTCCGACCTTTTACATGAAACCCAAATAGTTCTTTTGGTGAGAGTTCACAAGCATTTCATATAACATGAAATGCTGACGTTAAATTTAAATAAACTTGACTGAAATGAAGTCAACAGGAGTAGAAACTGTGATATTTGAGAATACATTGAGATGACCACTCATCTCAATGTATTGACCTCAGTCTTAATTGGTTTTAAGACTGGGGTCTTAAAAACAATTAACCCATCTAACCTATACAAATTCTCATCCTCTGGAAATTTCCACTATTAATATATTATATTATCAGACTTGCACAACAGAAACAGGCTTAAAGATGTTGGAAGAGTAAAATTTTGAAATTCTGTCTGTAGCAACAAGCACTGTACTCCTAAAACAGCAAATGTCTTTAATGTCAAAGCAGTCTGCGACAAACGGAAACACTACTGACAGTCAACATACACCAGAATTAGTTTGACTACAAATGGTTTTAATAACTAAAAATAGATGACAGTTAAATAGGCTTTATTTGACTCTCCTGTTACTAAACATGGATTTGACAAAAGCATTATGACAATTTTACAAATACAAATCTTTTCAATCAATCAATCAAATTTTATTTGCATAGCACATTTCAGCAACAAGGCATTTCAAAGTGCTTTACATCATAAACACAAAGTCATGCAACATAAAATAAACAATACATTCTTACATATTATTGCAAATACAATTCTAAACCTGTGCATTTGTCGTTGAGATTTAAAGGAAGTCAGGGTTTCTGCTGTTTTACAGTTTTCTGGAAGTTTGTTCCAAATATTTGGTGCATAGATGCTGAAAGCTGCTTCTCCTCTTTTGGTTCTGGTTCTGGGGATGCAGAGCAGAACCAGAACTAGAACCTGAGAGTCTGGAAGGTTGATACAACAACAGCAGATCTTTAATGTATTGTGGTGCTAAACCGTTCAGTGATTTATAAACTAACAAGAGTATTTTAAAATCTATTCTTTGAGCTACAGGGAGCCAGTGGCTCAAAGAATAGATTTTAAATTTATAATTTCTTCTAGGGTTTTATAATGAAGTAGTTGAATACGGGTCATTTTTCCTGTATTTGTTCTGTTTGGGTACAGCAATGGTTCTGCTTTAGAGTTGATGTGCAGATTAATCCTCTGATTCTTTGAATTTTCTCTGAAAAGAAGTTGGAAAACTTGTTCCATCAGCATTAGATTGAGTTCATGTGGTAACGTCATAGGAGGGTTTGTGAGCCTGTCAACTGTTGCAAATAAAACTCCAGCATTTTGTTTATAACATCTGCAAAGAAAGCCGCCCTTGCATATTTTAGTGTTGAGTGATAGTTACGTAGTCTTTCTTTATAGATGTCATTATGAACGTGAAGCTGAGTTTTACTCCATTTTGGTGCTGTTCTGTCTGCAAGACCATTGCACCACCACCAATCTAAACTGTTGATACAAGACAGGATGAATTTGTTGATGCCAAATTCTGACTCTGCTATCACAGCAGAAATCGAGACTCATCAGATCAGGCAACCTTTTTCCAATCATCTATTGTCTAATTTTGGTGAGCCTGTGTATATTGTAGCCTCAGTTTTCTGTTCTTAGCTGATAGAAGTGGCACCCGGTGTGGTCTTCTGCTGCTGTAGCCCATCCTCCTCAAGGTTTGACATGTTGTGCATTCAGAGATGCTGTTTTGCATACCTCAGTTGTAACAAGTGGTTATTTGAGTTCCAGTTGTTGTTCTAAAAGATCAAATCAGGTCATTCTTCTCTGACCTCTGGCATCAAAAAGGCATTTACACCCACAGAACTGCCACTCTCTTTTTCCATCCATTCTCTATGAACGCTAGAGATTGTTGTGTGTGAAAATCCCAGTAGATCAGAAGTTTCTGAAATACTCTGACCAACCCATCTGGCACAAATGACCAGGCCAGTCACTTAAATCATCTGATGCTCAGTTTGAACTGCAGCACATCATCTTAGCCATGTCTACATGCCTAAATGCATTGAGTTCCTGCTGTGTGATGAGCTGATTTGACATTTGCGTAATGAGTAGTTGGGCAGGAGTACCTAATAAAGTGGCCAGTGAATGTGTATCTTAGGTCAACTATGCTGCTGCTGTCAGGTTGTTGTTATATTAAGGCCTGTTAAGTTCTAATGTAATTAGATTTGAATAAACCCCTTGATATCAGTGTTGTTGTTTAAATGGTTATAACCTTTCATACTGTTTATTTCAGTTAGATGTTGGTAACTAAAACTTTAAATTTAACATAAATAGATCTCTTATGTGCACCTGTTCTCCAAACATTTTGAAAATAATTAACTAATTTCAAGTGTGATTTTTTTTATTTTTATTTTTTTATTTACCAGGATCTAAAGAGAGTGCTGTCCTTCCCCCCATACCCTAGGGATTATCTACATCCTGTGGTATATGCCTGTACTGCTGTCATGCTGCTGTGTTTGCTTGTCTCCATCGTGACATACATTGTACACCACAGGTAAGAGTCGTTCTATGACTTTTTGTTTTTTACCCAAATGAGCTGTTTGCATTATCAGAAACATTAGCTTAATTGGAATCTTCAAACTGCATGTTAAATTCCATCTCAAAGTTAAGAATTATTTCCATTTAGTTGGGTGCATTACCAAAGGCCCTTTCTCCCAGGAGGAGATTTTATAACAATCAACAAATTCAAACTTTCATATTTAGTGTGTTCAGAATAAGATCAAACTGCAAACAGGAGAATGGAATAGTCATATGAGCCACTGTATATTGAACAAAAGGCAAAAAGTACGAAACGTGAACCCAGAAAAGAGCAGAGCAGTGTAAAACTGAGTCAATGAAAGCAACCAGTGAACAGTAATGAATCAGAAAGGTAGATATACAGAAGAGGGAGTCAAGGTGACAAAGGGACTAATTAGTACAGTGGCCAACAGGTACAAATTTGCAACAACCTGCAAAACAAACTTCAAACATGTTAAAAACAAAAATGCAACAGAAAGGCACTCCAAAAAAATGCTTCAATCAAAAAACTCTGTAATCACAGGGAAAAGGAGCAAGAGGGTGAAATGCTGCAAATAGCAAGAACACACTTAACCCTCTCCAGGCAGGTGTTGCAGATTTGCAACAACTTTAAACAATCTTTTCAAGTAATTTGAGCCTAAGAGGGTTAAAAAAATTAATTATAGAATAGAATTCAACTTTATTGTCATTGCATTGTCACATGTACAAAGCAACAAAATGTAGTTTGCATATATCCAGAAGTGCTATACAGGATATAAATATTTATTAACAGTTGTACAAAGAAGAAACCCCTTGATATACGTATCTTGATATTCAGTGTTGTTGTTTAAAAGGTTAACTTTTCATACTGTTTATTTCAGTTAGATGTTATAGAGGTTTATAGAGGTGCTATAAATAAAATGTTTTGTACAAATACAAATATAAATATGAGAGCTATGTACATATTATACACATTACACAGATTATATGGAATGTTCAGGAATATGAAGAATGGATTGTATATATATTAGTTGTTTTATAATACAGGATAAATAATGGCAAATTAGATTTATAGATTATATGAAGATTGTATACAGATCGTGTATGTGAGGGGAACAGTCCGAGGATGGGGGTACAGTCCTTATAGTTTGTGTCCGGAGGCGTTCAGGAGCGTGACAGCTGTGGGAAAGAAGCTGTTCCAGTGCCTGGTGGTTCTGGTCCGTGGGCTTCTGTAACGCCTCCCAGAGGGCAGGAGAGAGAAGAGCGTGTGTGCAGGGTGAGCGAAGTCCTTGGTGATTTTCCAGGCCCTTTTCGGACGCCGCTTCCTGTAGATGTCATTGATGGCAGGGAGCATCTTAAAATAGTTTTCTTACTGAAAAACATCCCAGGAAAGGAATTAAAGTTATCGGTATTAGAAGAAAAGATTGGCAAAATTTAGAAGATACCTGGGTCAGGTTGGGTGCGGATGCCTGGCTGGTAAGACTGCATGTGTTTTTTTTGTGGACAGGCAGACAGACTTGGTGTTGGCCGGGTGGTTTGGCAGACTTTAGTTTTCTGCCCCTACCGTCACTATGGGGATGTAGACCCAACTGATTGGGAGATGCAACTAGCTGTAATGTGTGCTGTGTGGCAGAAACACAGCACAACTGCTATGGTACTACTGACGTTTTGCTTGGTTTGGTGATGACCATAACGCTGGGCTTGGTAATGGATGTGTGTGGAGCTTGAGTTGCTGCTTCAACAAACCCACTGTCATCTGGACAAAACAGGCAGCATGGTGAAGATCATGTTCTTTGATTTCTCCTCAATTTGGCCTGATCTGCTCTGTGACAAACCCCAGAAGGCACATGGAGGCCTCAACAATCACCTGGATCTGATTGTTTGTGAGACAAGAATAACACAGGAGAACCACCGGGGACTGTACTCTCACCATTCCTTTTCACTTCTTGTACACTTCAAACTTCCAGCACAATTCTGACTTCTGTCATTCATGATGGCTGTCTCATGTCAATGGTGTAAAAGTTGGGTTAGGGCATTGTGAAAGTTGTAAAAGTGCAAAAGTTGGGCATACTGAGTGCAGATGCTTTGAAAACTGGTGGACAAATGACTATAAAGGCAAGGTGTAAATAGGTGTAAATAGTTACAAAGATGCATTTCGTCCTGGAGAGTCAGCAAACTGAAGGAGAAATGATCAGGTATTACACATTTAAGCGATACGACAGTTCAAAGAGCTTTACATTATGAAAACGTCACACAGACATCAGATATGAAACAAGCAGCAAACATTACATTTGATCAAATTCCATAATCAAATTTGTTGAGCATTGTTCCAGTCATGGCTAATCAAAGCAATGTGCAGGATTTTGTAGAGGATTAAGTGACTTCAGAGCAGTGTTCTGTTTACCTGTGCTACCCATGATTCCATCCTACTTTGTTGATGCTACATACTGCTTACTCAGCAGATTTCTTATAAGTACTTTCCACCTGTGGAAGTTTGATGACCTTCCACAGTTCATTCAACTGTGGAAGTTTGATAAATTTCCACAGAACGTTCATTTTATCAAAAGTTACGGTAAGCTTTATTTAATTTATTTTATTCCTGGCTTTCATTAAGCTGCTGTATTCTTCATGTTTTTACTTTGCATGACAGGCAGCTTATAGATGGCTATAGTTTGCCGACTGCAAAGTAATTACTACTGTAAACAAGTCATTGTTAGGCTGTTAATCAGGGCTATTTTGCCCCCATATTTTACACTTTTTTATTATTAAACTTTGCTCAATAAATGTTAGCGATACTATGTGGGATTGAAGCTGTGTAACAGGCCTGTAATATCAGTGTATATTAATCATATCCTATCATTTCAGGAACACAATGACCAGTGCAGTTCGGTGGACACATTGTGGTTTCACTGCATTTGATAAAGTCTGTCATACAATGTATTTATGGGCAAAAAAGAGTTGCAGTGATCTGTATTTGTCTGTGTTTAATTTAATTCCAATAAAAACGTGTTTCTCCTGTCTGATACTGTTTTATTCTTACAAACATCTTTGTATGTAAAATACAGGATATTAGGATATTCTAGTAAAAGGAGTAGTACATACATCTATAGCTTTTCATTTTAAAGATGTAAAATATTCGTATAAAGGAAAGTGGTCTTCTGGCTTCGTCATGTAGCTATAGAAATTATTCCAAAGCTAAGCTAATCTAAGCATAACTCCTAAGCTTCCACTTCAGTCCCTTTACTTAAGTAATGTTATCCAATATGCATATTTAACATTAACAACCCGCTATAGTTTTCTGTTTGTAAACATGATGGTAGCAGTTTTGGACGAATAGTACTGACAGATGAACTTGGCTATCTATTCGTGCTATGGTTGAAAAATCTTATAGTCAACACCAAGAAAGAAAACCTAAAGATGCTGCAGAAAGTTTCTATCATCCAGCAGGAAAATGTTTTTGGCAAAGAAAAATTTCAAATAAAATGTTACTAGTTCGCACAGCATTTGTAATAAAGATTTTTGCTTGATTTCCACAAATTTTTTATAATTGTAATGCTTACAATCCACATATTCAGAAACTGTAAATAACTCAGATTCACAGCAGCAGACCCAGAAACAGTGAAATGATGAGTTTAATGGTGAAAACACGACACAAACACAACAAAAGTCCAAAACCCAGGCAGCACTGCTGAGCAGAAGACAAGGGCTCATCACAGGTAGCAGCTGGTATACAACTGGACAGTAGACGACACACTAAGAACACACTGACAAACGACTAGGACCCAACAGAGACGGTGAGACACAGGTGACATTAAATACACAGGAGGTAATCAGGGAACGAGACACACCTGGAAATAATCAAGGGGGAGAACTCAGAAAACACAGAAACTCAAAATGAACACAGAAAAAGACAGAACATGACAGATTTGTATTCAAAGTTTTTAGTGGTATTCTAGGTTTTTTATTTTTCCAATAGAATTGAGAAATGCAAGTGTCAATTGATTTAAACCAGTTTTCTGTAGAAATAATTGGGAGTGATAAAGAATAGCTAATTAAGATGTGGAAGTGCCTTCATTTTTATTGTGGATATATGACAAATGAGTGAAAGTGGAAGTTTGGTCCAGTACATTAGGTCACCTTTAATCTTTTTAAGTAGTGGGATATAATCAAGAGCAAATAATTCTGACAGCCTGGGGGAAATATTTATTTCTAGATATATTGTGTTCCCCATTGAAAGAAGTATTGTAGTATTTTGAGATGCAGTGTCCCATGCTCCATCAGATAGTAGGAGGATAATGGATAACTGGGAACCATAAATGTTCCCAGTTTATGGTCGAGTCTGAAATTTTAGAAAAGTAATTTATGATATTAAAAGTTTCTTCAAGAGAATAATATGCATCTTGTAAAAATAAGAGGATACCATCCTCTTTTTTATGTTCAATAGCTAAGTCATGGATTCCTTTAATTTTGCTATTTTTCCTTATTTCTACAGCAAGCGGTTCAATGAAAAGAGCAAACAGAGAGATCATATAATTCCACTTGTGCTTAAATGTAGGTCTTGGTGCAGTGTGAAGTGTTTTATCCACCTAATAAACGACTCTCCAAATCCAAGTTTTTCCAATATCTTGAGCAAGAATTTTCAGTTGACTTTATCAAAAGCTTTCTCTGCATCCAAAGAAACTATCACAGTTTTTGCTTGCTTTTGGTGGGCGATATTAAGTTAAATAATCTGCAGGTACTATCAACTAGACATAGGTCAACATAGTTGACCTATGTCAACTAGGTTTCTTTTTTTGATAAAGCCAGTTTGGATTTGGATAAAACCCAAATCCAAACTATTCTTGCTGCAAGTGCTTTAGTGATTATTTTTAAATCTGTGTTACTTAAAGAAACAATGTTATGCCAGCTGTGTTCATCATTGGTGGTATGGAAGAATTAGATTTCATTTCATTTATTATCTTATAGAAAAGTGGTGATCACATGAGCTAGAATTGTTTGTAGAACTCAGCAGGAAATCCATCAGGTCCAGGTGATTTGTTGTTGGGCATTTTAAGAAGTGTGTTTTGAAGAGAGTGGAAGCTCTAGTGTATTATTTTTTTTATTAAATAAATGAGGAAGAGCCATCTCTTTTAGGAAGGATTCTATTTGAGTATCTTTTGGATTATTAGCTGGTGTCTATAACTGAATATAAAAAGATTTAAAGATATTATTAATTTCTTGAGGGTCTTGAACTGTTTCTCTTGTTGAATTTAAAATGGCTGGAATGATGGATTTTTCTTTCTTATGCTTCAGCTGATTCGCTAAGTATTGACCAATCTTTTACTACACAGCAAATTGTGAAGTGTATATGTTACACTTTAAGAGTAAAGTTTACACCAAACTTGGTGATCATTTGGGTCCAAATTCCCAGTGTTGAAAGAACATTGGGCATTGGAGTTAAAAAAAATAACCCCGGAATAGTGTGCAATTCTAACAATTTAGGAGTATAAATGAGCTCTTTTACCAATACATTTTGACTCTTTCAAGACTGATAGAACAAAAAATAAAACTCTGTCAGAGTGTCTAAACTATACGATATAGAGTATAATGTACCATGGAAAGGAGAGTTTATCCATCACCAAAACACAGTTTTAGCTTTAAAGAGTTGATTTTTGACACTTGTATCATTGTGTACCATAGCTCTAAATGCTCTCTTACAAAGATACATTAAAAACATTAACACTTATATTAAAAATAATTACACATGAATGAGTGAACAGAAAATGCAAGTATACTTTATTTTAGTTTGCAGCATTATACGTATAACAGTAACTGAAGCAAATTAAAGGACATCCTTAATATACAAATCTCATTTTAAATTCCAGAATTCTCTAAACTTCTAGCACTGAACTGCACCATGGTCATTAGTGATTATGAACACAGACAACCCCAATTAACAAAATATGAAAGAGTAAAAAAATAGTACACTAAATAGCTTCAAAATAGTACACTAAAGCCGTATTGTATAATTTTTTCTACAACATACACATCTAAGTTTTTCAAACAAGTTAATATGAAACAGAGTTTTTCTAAAACCTGACAGAGCAAATCTTGTCTCAATATCTTCTACAACAGTGTGTACACAAGAACCACATACACATCATTCCTCTCAAAACCGTTTTTTGTCTTAAGGTCAAAAAGTTAGAAAAATGCAACTAGTCAACACTCAGCAGAGAACCATGAAACAAATTTTCCTTCACCACATAGTCGGAGCGAAAATGTTAGCCAAAACTAAGAGTTTCAAAGCATTTGACACCAAGAGAATAATTCCCAGCAAAAACAATAATGTCACCGAATTGACAAAATATTAACATTCCCTCTTCAAACTTGGAACCCACAATGAGACCAGGACAATACCCCATGCCATCACATGCAACCCAATTCAAAGTCACAATTTATGTCAGTGTGCAAGAAAACACCTTGCGGTTGATGAATGACTTTTTCACTCTCTACAAAATCAATGCAGTTAAAACTCCCAGTGGTATGCGATTGCGATCTGTTTTGGGAGCATCAGTGCACATACTGTTCTATAAAGCTGAAATTTAAGACTTAGCTTTGCAGGGAATGAGTTGACTATCCACAACTAAATAGTAGTCACTGATGGTGTGATGCTCCAACTGCTAAAACATAGTTGGGCTGCCTCCCCTGGACTGAGCTTGTCTTCTCTTCAAGGGTGCGACATGACAAAAAAAAATTTCAGTGGAACGAAACTAAATCAGATAATAGCTTTTCAACTTTGCAGTAAGCTAACCGTTCCCTAACCCTAACCCAGCCTCCATTAAAAATTTCTGCATTTAAAATGTCTACATTGGAATGGATAAAGGCTTTCATGGCGTTATATTGACTATGACTGGCACTCTTAAGGTGTCGTAAGTTGCATTACAATATGAAGTAGTAACTGTGGCACTGTTACCAGTTGGTGCTAGATTTCAACAGCAACCGGAGAGAGAGCGGGAGAGAAGGGCAAACAGAGCGAACATAACATTGGGGGAACTGAAAGTACAGATTTTGAGAAAAAAATAGTGGAAATATTGATAGTATAACTACCTTGTGAAAAAAATCCACTAGAACTGATAAATTTTTCTATCTTAAGTCGACATTTAGGTCGACACCATCTCTGGTGGCACATTTATTAAACTGGCACTAACATTTGGTCAAAATTATATGTACAAACAAAAATTACCTGTGTTTTTTGTTGTCTGAGAAGATGCATCGCTCTGTCCACCAACTGGTTAATCCCGCTGAAAAATAACTGACACCAGTAGGTGATCCTGTCCCAACATGGGAAGTATTTCTAATTACTAATAAACTCTAAAGTGTAAAAAAAACCAACAACTCTGCATACTCAAAGTATGAAAAAGTAACATTCTTGAATTTGCTGTATACATTGGAAGTTATTATATTTTCGTTGCTGAAAACAAATGATTTTATGGATAATTAAGTTTCCATTGATGTTTTAAATTAGTTAGATCCTCCTTAATTTGATCATCTGGATTTGTATTGTAAGAGTTAGTAAAATAAGTTATTTGTTTTTCTACATTTCTATTTGTTTTTTCTTGTGTGATGAATACGCTATTATTTTAACTCTCAATATTGCTTTTTCTGTTTCCCACAATAAAGATGTTGCTTTATTTCATCCCAAGAAATAATGCCCTCTCTTTTTTCAAGTATAGTTAAGTTAGCTGGTATTGGACCATGCTGCAAATGTAGATTCTCTCCAAATACTGACCCACTTCAAACAGTTTCTTGATGTTCAATGCTTCATTTCACACAAACTTTTGTGGACTGCTTTACTATTTTGATTTATTTGTATGTGTGCATTACATAAGTTGTTTCTCACATCTGGGATAAATTAGTTGTCAACAGATTTTCTAGAAATCAATCAACTGAGAAAATGTTGACATGTTCAATATCTGAAGTATCAGCTGTATACATGTTTTGTTCAGCATTTTTAGAATCAGTAATAGTAAAAATTCTGATAAACCCTTAAAATTGCAGCTACAATTCAACTACTTCAACCAAATTGCCTGTTGAGATTACTGTGCTCAGGTCCAAAAACCTCTCCTATTAAATCAGATGTAGATTATAGGTATGTGGACTGCAGTCTAACTACATGTTTACTTTACATTCTTTATTCACTGTTTCCAGTGTCATCCGCATCAACAGGAAGGGCTGGCACACCCTCCTCAATTTCCTCTTTCACACAGGCCTGACATTTGGGGTGTTTGCTGGAGGCATCAATCAGATCCACTTTCCTTTGGTTTGTCAGATTGTAAGTGTGCCATCTTCTGCTCCTTTGTGTATCTAATATTTTACAATTACAGTACAGACCAAAAGTTTGGACACACCTTTTCATTCAATGAGTTTCCTTTATTTTCATGACTATGACATTGTAGATTCACACTGAAGGCATCAAACTATGAATTAAGATATGTGGAAATATATACTAAACAAAAAAGTGTAAAACAACTGAAAATATGCCTTATATTGTAGTTTCTTCAATGTAGCAAGATTTTGCTGTGATTAGTGCTTTGCACACACTCTGCATTCTCTTGATGAGCTTCAAGAGGTAGTCACTTGAAATGGTTTTCACTTCAGAGGTGTGCCCCGTCAGGTTAATAAGTGGCTTTCTTGCCTTATAAATAGTCATGAAAATAAAGGAAACCCATTGAATGAGAAGGTTGTGTCCAAGCGTTTGGTCTGTACTATATATATTTTTGTGGAGCGCAGTAATTATAACCTTGTCTGTACATTGCTTGGAGCCAGCCATTACTTAAACAACTAACAAGCATTAAATCTGAATCTGGAACCATCATTTGTAAATAAATTTGAAGAAAAAGACACATTTTTAACTGTCTACTAACTTTCAAGAAAACCAATGTTTTCAAATCTAATACTAATCATAGTATAGATGTGCAGTACAGCACTCTCCTTGATTCCTTTAAGTTGAACAGGGTGTCAAGGGATTTTTAATTAGAAATCCATAATGATCTGGGCCTCTTTTCCTTTACCATTTTTCACTTTGAAAAAGTGAAGGGAATGTATATGGTAAAAGTGACATGTCAGAAAATTACTACAAGAAAATATCGACTTACCTAAATTTGTTTGTATCTACAGTCTGGGCAATCCTTAAAATGACTTTAACCAACTGAAAATGTGACAAACAAGGCTGGACTAGAGTTTCAAGCTTCATTTCCAGAAAAGCTGAGAGCAAATGTCTCTTGTGAATGAGATTATTACTATAATATGTAATTTTTAACTGTATTTCCTTCTTTGGTGTGGTAGGTCGGCATTGTACTCCATTATGCTTCATTGTCCACCATGATGTGGCTGGCTTTTACTGCAAGAAACATTTGTAAAGATGTGTGCAAAGAACCACTTCAAGCCCAGGACAGGAGTGCTCCAGTCCAGAAACGTTCCAAACCAACCATCCTGAGGTAGAATTTTATTTTAAAATAATAAAAGACTGGCAACTCTTGAGAGGGTTTAAGCATAGTGACTATTGTCTTAAAGCCTCTGAATCTTTCACCAGATTCATATGCTTCTATAGGCTTAATCAAAAACTAGAAAACTGCGTAATCTCACTGCTGTATGAGAATGCGAGAGGAACTCAAGGTAGATCAGAAAAAGCCTCTTTTTGTGGTAAATCAACATCTAACCCTAACCCAGTCATTAATTTTTGTCAAGTTAGTCCCAATTTCAGTTTGGTATAATTTAAAAAATTTTGAACATAATAAATTTCTTAGCACTTTACGGGGTCAACTGTAAAAAATGTCCAGTTCTATGACTGACATAGAACCTCTAATATTGGTCAAGTTCATATTTTATTTGAACAGCCCTAATTACAGTTGTGTCTAAAATAGGAGTAAATCAATTTTACAATTTTGTTAAGCCAGTGGTATCATTATTGTGAATCAGGAGGAACAATGATTACTATTTCCTAAGCGTTTGCTAAGCAACTTCCTAAGTATTTTCATCAAATGGCAAAAAGACCATACTGCCCTGCATCAACACATTTGATTAATAACTTTTTTAACTTTTTTTCTCAGATTTTATCTTGTGAGCGATGGAGTACCTCTGTTAGTTGTAGTCATTACGGCTGTGTTTGGCATGGATAACTATGGCAGCAGAGACGGAGCATTATAGTAAGTACAGATTCGATATATTCATTTAATTCATTTATAATTTTATCTCTGCAAGGTTAGAAAATAGTTTTAAGTGTCTGTTTATCATTTTCAGCTGCTGGATGGCATGGGAACCTAGTCTGGGAGGCTTTTATGCACCAGTAGGTCTTCTGGTCTTAGTCATGTCTTTGTACTTTTTGATTACCTACATCCAGCTGAAGCGCCACCCAGAGAGAAAGTATGAATTGCGACTTCTAAGAGAGGATCAGCAGATGTCGTCGTCCAGTGAGTCAAACCATCATTGTCAAAGTGGCAGTGGTGGAGCTTCAGTGTCTGCTGGAGACTGTCTGACATTTTCTACTGGTGCATCTGTACTGGCTAATGAACACTCTTTTAAATCCCAACTACGTGCTACCATCTTCACACTGTTTGTGTTCCTGTCAACCTGGGCTTTAGGAGCATTGGCTGTATCACAGGGACATTTTCTGGATATGATTTTCAGCTGCCTCTATGGGGCTTTTTGTGTCACTTTGGGTCTCTTCCTTCTCATCCAGCATTGTGCCAAACGGGATGATGTGTGGAATCGTTGGTGGGTTTGTTGCCCATCTAAATCAAAGATAGAGAATGTCAATACTGATGGACAGAGTCAAACACAACAACTCCATCAACCACACTGCCACTTGAGCTCTCCGTGTTCAGGCAAGCAGCCACTGCTTTTGCCACAACTCTTGCAGGGTTCTTCAGAAAAAATTACACCACCTCCTCAAAGCCCAACTCCAAGTAACACAGGTCCTTGTTGTGTGGCTGTTATGAGTCCAGCATCCCCTGTCCAATCTCTCATTGAGCCAGAGTTCTCACCACGTCCTCATTCTCTTCCAGATGAGCTCCCTCGGCCAACTCTTCCCCTACAGAGATGCCTTACTGAGAGAGCAAAGTCACGCTCCTTTAACCGCCAAAGACCATGCTTCCAAGACTACCGCTCACATCTGGCTTCACTGAGTATGGATGGAAGTGTGCACAGCTCCCACAGGGATCTAGAAGGAACACCGTTAGTTTCCAAAAGCCCACTTCCAGATCATCAGCTTCTTTGTCCTAGTCCCCACTTGGGTAAGCAGATGGCTTCCAGCCACACCTTTCAATGCCAAACCTCCTGCCAGAGTATACAAGACCCAGTGACTTCCTGTCACGGCCATGTTCACAGCATGCATGACAGCATAACTTCCTGTCACAGCCTCCTGCCTTCTCAAGGGGTCCATTCTTGCCAGTGGCACATGTATGGTTCAGCTACTCCCTCTGCTAATGCAACCTGCTGTGACAAACTTGATTCATTTACAATGAAATGTGAGCAAGACCCCAAAACATACAACTGCACATTAAAGACAGAAGATGAAGACACAGAGATGCATTCTTTGGACATAAAGCAGAGAGGTTTTCCACGAAATACTCTGCCTCGACAGCATTCCAAAATTAGTCGCCGAGGGGTCATTGGTCGAAACAGAAGTTTGCAAGAAGATGGCTTGTTTGGCTCAGATGCTACAGGAAATATTCGGACTGGCCCTTGGAAGAATGAAACCACAGTTTAGATGTGATGTCAGTTTAGCCTTCCAATAACTCTGTCTTTATAGATGACATGTATGTGTTTTGGTCTTTATACTGTATCCTAAAATAACCTCAATGAGTCCTCACATAATTTAGGACTAAATTAAGTTGTTAAATAAATATTTTTTTAGTTATATTTGATTATCAAATACAGGTGAATCTACATTATGCTTTAAATCTGCAAGTAATATATCATGAATTCTCAGGGGCACAGTGGTTCTTTAATTAGAAATGTGAGTGAAAAAAAGGGACCAAGAGGTTAAACCACATCAGTTCCACTTAGATGTTTCATGTTAGTTTATATAAATTGTTTTATATTAATCTAAAATGTCTACAAAAATTAAAATACTAGCACTCACTGAACTTTGCATAGGAACACAGACCAGGTACAAAATATGTGTAGAACCAACTGCCCTTGATTTTCTTGAAAAGACATGTTAAGGGACTTGGCCTCTTACTTCATATGCATGAGAGAGCTTCAAATAACTCTTTATAGATACAATTATCTCAAAAACACAGATAATAAAACCCCTTGCAACCAGAATAGCAGGGATCTCCCTCGAACTGCTCAGTGTCTAAGACACCTTCTCTGAGTATTGGTGCTCATGCAAAAGAATTTTAAAAATTTTACTTCCTGCCTTTAGCTCTGTAGACATGACAATGTATCATGTCTCTTTTTAGCTTTGTATCATATTCCTGTGATGGAATGGTGACCTGTCCAGGGTGCCCCCACCTCTCGCCCATTGACTGTGGGAGACGGGCACCAACACCCCGGTAACCTCACTAGGAATAAATGTGTTGGATAATGGACGGATGGATATCCACATGTCCACATATTATTCCCTGATGAAAAACAAACCTGGAGTGCTGCTTTGTTTCTGTCATGTATATTTGAAACATATTGGAATCTCCTGTGGCAACCATTCTGCAGTGTCTGAATGATTGCTCGAGCCAAACACCATCTTTTTCCAAAAAGCTCTTCATTGGTAGTGCAGACTCCAGCTGAGTTTCCACCTCACTGAGCACCTCTCCTCCTGGCCTCCACCGTTCAGCTCCTCCAGACTAGCGGCAGCAGCAATTAGTAAACACCAAGTGGAACTGCGAATCTGCTGAGCTTATTAAATAAACTACATCTCAGTCCTATGCTCCTAAGATCGTTTGTTCATGGTATAATTAGAACCATTGTTGTCATGACGGCAGGGTATCAGAAGGAGCAGGAGTTTCTCAATGAGACAGAGGCCCAATTTCAAGAAGCTAAGATACAAATTCAAATTTCAAGTCATGTTGCATACATACAGCACTTTCCTAACAATTGAAAGTAACAGTTACTTCATTATGGGGGTGGGCATTCATCGTTTCAGTTATCGTTAATTTCTTTTTGTCATATTAATAATTTTGATTTAACATCACCATACATTTTAGTAAACATTAAAAACTTTTACTTAATGTGATTTGCACTATTTTTCTCCTTGTTTCTCCACAACAATACCAATAACTGTCAATAAATTTGAAAATGATTATTCTAAGTCTCTAAGTGATACATTGTTCAAACAATTAATCCACATGTATAGACATGTGCAACCATCAAATTGTACAGGAAAATAACAGGTTCTCTGTCCCAGGAATAAATATGTAAATATGCAGATAGACCCCAGAATAAAAGCTAAAGATGCTACTGTATTTTTTCAAACAGTCATTATCCCCAGTGAAACATGCCCTGTTCTGATTTGATTAAAATTGTTTATTTTAGCAAAGGCCACTCAGCTTTTACTTCAGAAGAAACATAAAAAGTTAGATTTTTTTGTAGATGCACACAGAGATGACAATCTTAATTTCTGGACAAATGTCCTAGTGAAACTAAAGTGAACCTGTTTGGCTATAATGTCCGTTGGAGGAAGATTAGAGATACCATTTTACCTTTGAAGTTTGGGGGTGGCAGCATCATGGTGCTGGGCTAATGTGCTGCGGGAGGAACCGGTGCACTTCATGAAATAGATGCCATCATGTGGAGAGAACCTTATGTGGAAATACCGAAGCAATATCTAAAGAAATCAGCCAGTAAGTAAAAACATGGGAACAGATTTGTCTGTAAATCAAAATCTACAACCAAAGAGGTTATAGAATGGTTTAAAGACAACAAAGTCAGTGTTTTGGTGTAGCTGTCAAAAAGCCCTGAGGGCTACTTCACAAAACTGTACAATACAGTTTGTCTCTATCAAGGGGCTGATAATGAGTTACATTGTGTAAGCTGCATTACAATTTATCTTCTGTCTTTTAACACCCATTAAGCTTCAACATACTGCAAAATATACTTATATTTAATCTCGATCAATTGAAATCAGTTGATAAGAAGTGGAACAAAAAGTAACATGAATGAATCCGCTCTCAGATTGGCTTCCACTGTTCATTGATTTGATTAAAGTTGTTTATTTTAGCATATGACAGGTATGACTATGATGGTTCTTAGTTAAGTTATAGCTTGGAAATATATTTTTGGCTAGTTACGCCTTCAATCGACCCGCTACTGTTTGCTACTGTAGCAGCAGTTTATTTTCCTTTTGAGCAATGTGCTTTAATTCTTCATAATCCTCAGTCAAAAGATCTTTGTTTTGTGTGAAGCATGGAATATGCAATTTATCTAGCCATCATGAGCATCAGTGAATCTGTGATTGATCTCATGATCTACTGAAGAAATCTGTGAAGGCGTATTCACCTGAATTACTAAAGTCTGGGCCAACGTAGCTGAACCTCCTGAAAGTACATAGTATTGCCCATTTAAAATATGTGAGGACCTACCATAAAATGATAAATGTATTAGTATTTTAAAACTTTTGGAAAAATAGATAAACAGCTTTCAAAATGCACAATATTAAACCCATTATATTGCTAATAATTACAAATTTCCTCAGCTTTTGAGCATGCTCTTTCAGATTCCAGAGACTTCAGATAACCTATACTGATCTTGATCTTAAGGATCCAGCATCTCTAAAGTTTACACCCTTAAATTCCAACATTTAAACATTTCAAGTCTGTATCTGTTATTTTTGGATTTCATCTGACTATAACACAATTATTAAAAAAAATTAATTGAGTCATATACAACACATTGATAGTATGATAGACTATGTGTGTGAGTTTTATGTGTACAACGGTGCATGAATTATTAGACACAGATGTGGTGTGTTTGTGTAACATGTGCTTACACCTTGACCCGACATTTTTAAGTTTATTGATAAAGTTGTATTTATGAAGTTTATACATATTTTTTCTTCAGTGATACTTTATTTATGCTACCAAGTTAAGTCAAACTGAACTTTTAGTTTGACAATTATTGCACTAATGTGCACTATAGGACCCCTCACCTTGTGAGATATTTAAAAAGTGCAATGTGCAATAAGCACAATGTTTTTATAGTGCCAAAATGATGTGCCAGTTTTCACTGTGATGACAAACACATTCTCATTGAGAAACTGCAGTTTGTAGCATAATGCAAACTTTTACTCAGGTTTTAGAATATCATCAGCAACACTTTAAAGAGCTCTTCAAAATGCATGTTTTCTAAAGCTATGCATTTTTAAGTTAAGCGTGTTTCTGTGAATCTGTCTCATCCTTATTCTTATTTAACCAACTAGGAATTTTGCTGTTCCACCAAGCACTATTCTCATGGATTTACATTTGTGTGGTATTGCAGTTGCTCCCTCAGGTCAACATACCATATTTTCTGGACTATAGGTCACTCTGGAGTGTAAGTCGCACCAGCCATAAAATGCACAATAAAGCAGGAAAAGGCCAAACTATGAAAAAAATTGTGATTTATAGTCCGGAAAATATGGTACATGTGACCAGTTTTATTTTTTATTGAGAATTACAAGAAAATAAATCTAGTGACTATATGAAGTTGGTATTATTTAAAGCACTAAAATATTAATTTGTCAAAGTGAATTTGACCAAAACATTATTTATTAAATTTAAGTCCTTGGAGTTCACTGTTCTGCATGTATTCTGGTATTAGGTCATCCAATTCAATGCAACAGATATGAAAAAACTTCTCAAAGAATATAATGTTCAGTGGCACCTTGCATAGAAAGCAAAATCACATACTTTTTGATCTGAATCAGTTTGTCATCCTTACAAGCTTTTATAGCTAATGCCTGCACACACATCCACCTGTTATAACTGTTTTAACACTGAAATATTTTAAGTTAAACATTTTCACTGATCTAGTGACAACTATGATGTCATCATAGTTGTAGTAATTAAATTGCAGTGAGCAAGCTGTTAAATGATGTTGATGATTGTGTACATGTAACGTATAGTCCCAGTGTTTCCACAGTATAACATGTCTTCCTACACAATGGTCAGAAGTCATCTGACAGGTTGTGTTTGAACATATAACCATTTTCATGTGGATTTGCTTTTGTTTGGTTTTTTAACCTCTGTTATGAATTTTTAAAGATGTACATCCTTAAAAATAAAGTGACTAGCTAATGGAGCACTATGTTGTCTGCACTAAAAATAAATATTTGCTGTGACATGCGCCACAAACCTGTTCTCCCATTCTTTTTAGAACATATGGCAACTTAGGCCCTGTTTTACGGAAGAGAATGAGGACCACTGAAAAAAAAAAGATTCTCACTTTTTTCTTAGAAAATGACAGAATTTGTTTTTTCTTTCTGGGCCACTGAATTTTTTTTTTTTTTTATCTGAGATAAAAATGCTGACTTTTATCTCAGAAAAAGGAAAAAACAAATAAAATAAAAAAAATCAGTGACCCAAAAAAAAAATCTCAGAAATCAGAGGGGAAAAGTCAGACTGATGGACGCCAGCTTTTAATTTTACCCTCGGGTAGGATATTCTGATGTAGAAACTGATATTCTTGTGGTATTGTCGTGTATATAAATCAGTGGTGCTCAAATCAGTCCTTTAGGGCCGGCATCTTGCATGTTTTAGTTCTCTCCCTGGTTTAACGCACCTGGATCCAATAGTGGCTCATTAGAAGGCCTAAGAAGAACATTGGTAAGCTGAAAAGGTTGTTACTAACACCAGGGAGAGAACTAAAACATGCAGGATGCCGGCCCTCGAGGACCGACTTTGGGCACCACTTATATAAATTGTTCCAATGCAATGCTAACCATTACTCCTATGCTTCTGCTTCAGTCCCGTCACTCAAATAACATTAACATTATTCACAATGTTCATTATTCAATATCACTGACATGATAGCTATCTGAGCTGACTGCGAGTTGTAAATTATTTCATCATAAATTGAATAATGTATTCTTGTCTCCAATTTGAAAGCAACAAGCGTATAGAGTGGCTGCTGATGGAACTTGAAGTCGACTGATAATCCCTGTATCGCACATCTCGGTAACAAGTCAGTCCAAGGGCTTTCACCAGCAATAAGCAATAAATTGCTCATAAGCAAGCAAAAAATTCTCATTTTGTCAAGAGGAATCATTGGTACACATTAAATTTGTTGATCAGTGTTCTGTTCACCACTAATCAAAGGGAACTATAAACAGAAGGTGGTTAAGCCTAAATTTAAAAGAATACATGTTTTGGCATCTCACTTATGAAAATTTTTCCAGATTCATGATGCATAGTCTGTCAAGGCTGATTAATGTTTTATGTTTTATTCTGGAGATGCAGTACAGAGTAAGCCGAAAGACCTCAGTGGTCTGGCAGGTACTGTTTCATCAGATCTTTAACAAAGTGTTCACTTCTTATTTGGTAAAGATTTAAGGTTCGTCCAAGTTGAGCTTCAGCAGCTCGAGTCCTCTGCATTTTATGAAATCTGTTCCATTGCCATGCCTATTTTGATATCAGTCTCTTTTCAGATCATGTTCCATCACCTTGCAAATGAATCCAAGACATGCCTTATTCAGTTTGTCCTTACGATATCTTTCACATTCCCTTAAGCTTCACTCCGCTCTCCATCTCAGTCCATTTCTTTACTTCAAAGTTCTTTTGTCTAGCACCTCAACTTTTAGTCTGCATGGAATCTTTTTCCATCCAGAAACCTAGCTGTAGAAATCATTTTGATTTCTACAGTTTATCTCTGTAGAATCAGAAATCAGAAAGCACCATCATTGTAGCCCATAACTATGGTCCATTCTGACCCAACATTTCTCAGCTTATTCCTTCAGGACAGAGACAGCCACTTCCACAGTCACACAGGGAATGAAATCATTCAGCATCACTCCAACAGCTTTTTTTCCCAGAGGTACAGCTAGCCTCCATCTGCTAACTTCACATCATTTCAAGTCACTGTTAGGTCCTCATAGCTGGCCTTCATCTACCACTTCACATCTTTCTATTAGCTGATCTTCTCAATTTCCATTCTGCCATCCTCTCTTTATCACCATATTATCATCCTTAACTACACCATTCATGTCAGATCCTTAAGTTGCATTAGATTAGTTTCCCCTCTCATTCCCTTTCTTGGCCATGGCTCTCTCTTTTGGGGGGGGGATGACATTCCTAATCAAAATCGGAAAAGCTCATCTAAACTTATTGCATTTCATAACACAATGTCTTCCATTGCGGTTCAAGTGCCAAATAACTTCAAATCATACATTCATGAAATCAATAAACTTTTTCAATCACTGTTTTTCTCTATCTGAGTCTCTTCAGATTGAAATGAAGCCTTGGTGTAAATTAAAACTGAAAGACTCTTCAGCCTCACCTGCATCATCAAATCAGTGCATCATTTGCAGTCAGCCTATCAGCATCGGATCATGCCCTGTCTTTGCTATCACTGATCAAGCTCCGGCTTATAAGGACCTTCATCCATGGCATCATCCACTCTCCAGCAGTGCTCAAACCCACCTCCACCCCTTCTCCAAATCCATGTTCTCGGCTCTCTCGGGGGAAGCCATCCCTAATCCCAGTCCAGAAAGATCTTTGTCTCCAGTCTAGTCTGACGTGTTCTCATGCAATTGCATATTTATTACATTGAGTTGCTGTTCAGTTACAAATCATTTGCATAGAAGTAGTGGAAAATAGTGAATACAACTATCAGATTTCAGTCACAAGTCTCTACTCAAACAATGGTGCCATGCTGTATTGATGCAGTCTTCAAGCATAGCTTCGTAGCTTCTGAAGGTCTTGTGTGTGCATCTCCTGAGGTTGTTTGTTGTCTCTGCAGTTCTCAGGAAACTCTAGGTTATAAACTAGAGTGTTTGATCCTCTCTCCTGTTAAGTGTCAACGTTGGCCCCAGAGTGGCATCTGTTGTCCATTTGTCTTTGATGTCCTGCTATCAGGGAAGCTATGGCTGCAGGTTTTCTGTCACTCAGTTCGGCCTGCTTCTTGCTGCTACAAACACATTCCAGGAACAGACATAGAATCCTATATACGTTTTAGTATTTGTATCTATAATTAATTTGAATCCATCACCTACTCCTCTGCCTTCCAATTGATGCAACCCCATTAGATCTTGATAAAAACGCAGCCGAAAGATCAATGCCGTTTTTTTCTGCTGTTGTCTTATATTTTATCCTTACTCATAATTGGATATGATTTCAAATGTAACTGAGTAATTTTACTCAAAACAAATTCAAGTAAAAATAAAAGTACAGATTTTGTGTACTAAGGATGCACAATAGGCAAATTGTAATTACACAGCAATATGAGTAAGTGCAACTAATTACTTTCTACCCTTTTTGCCAGAACCAATTTTTTTTCCCCATTCTGAAGTGCTTATACTTTCTGCATTATCCCTACAGGTAGCTTATATTATAGTAAAAATATTTATATTTTAATTTGTTTTAGTTTGCGCAATGAGCCACTGACAATTTTCGTCATAATACCATCAAGAATTTAAAACTACTTTCACCCCTGTATGTCATGGTGTATGTCACCTAATACATATGAGGTAGGAATCTTAACTTTAGATTTTCTTTGAGGAAAAAATTGACTATGTTTCTCTTTCTTTGCAAAGTTACTGTTGAGGCGCTTACCGAGGTCAAGTACACACATATGCTTCTACACACCTTACATTTGCTAGTACACACATTACACTCTCATACTTTCACACAAAGGCCTTTGTATTTGTAACAGAAACAGAAACTGAATCATCTCCTCACTCCCATCTCCAAGAAAATAGAGACTTAGGTGACGCAGGACATCGGATGACCACTGGCTGTGTTCTTAGATCATAAGCAACAAATCTTCCCGTTTTTAAGTATATGCTGTATAGACTCAGGGCCCCGACGTAAAGTCTGATTATTTTGTGTTGGATGATTTGCTGCTTGTGCGCTTGCAAGTTTTTGGTCTATCGGGTTTAGAATACATGATGTTTTTCACAACAATTGGTAGCATAGGATGGTTGTGTGTTGAGACACGAGCAGAGATTGGACTGGCCGTTTGGGCGCAGCCTGCCGGATACAGTACTCTGGTGTTGGGTCCACAAAAGGTGAGAAAGCTTTTTCCTTAATACACACCATTGTACTGTTTCCCTGGGTTGTCTAAATTCCAGTTATCAGCCGTTGTTAATATTGCATTTCACTGAGTTGTCTAAGTTATCAGTACTGCTTTCCGCTGGTTTGTCACAGTGTCCCATTATTCATAGGAGTATTAAAAAATAAAATAAATTAAAGCTGCAAGCAGCCTCGAACGGCCCTCGCAGCCAAGCGCGCTCCGGCCTATTGCCACCGCGGGGCACGAGCAACCGCCGCCTCACGCCAGCCACCACAAAAGCTCTCACGCAGTTTTCAGCGCCTCCGCCGCACCGCGGAAGCTGTTGCTCAGTTTAAACTTCTCCAACTCCGGTCCAACAGAGCCTTCTTGCTCAAAAGCGTGGTTCGGATTTGCAACTCCAAAAATCCAAGCAAAATGTTGAGCGTAGTCCAGTTCTGTGGCTCCAAAAAGCAGGCAAAATGTTCAGGAAAACTTCGCAGCTCCAGCTGCCGGCTCACTGTTATTACGTAGCGTCGATCTGTTTTCTCATTGATGGAGTACCACTGCCTCCTGCTGGGGCAATACTGGTATTGCACTAGCAGTACCAGTATATCGCCACAAGGTGCCAGTGGTACTCCATCAACACTGACCCCAGTGTTTTCTTACTTCGCTGTCATAAGTTTTGCTGAATGACTTTGTTTGTATTATTTCTAGCAAAAATGAATGAATGTTTGTACTTTAACCCACAAAATAAACTTATATATATATAAAAAGTTATAATAATGTATATTTAAATAATTAATAACAACATAACCTATGGGCTGCTGTTTTCTAGGGGGCGCTATAGAGAAATTAGGCCACGCCCTCCAAATATTGTGATGGATTCCTGTCGGGGAGTTGATGGGAATCCATCCTTGTGAGTTTGGAGCAGCTGGGCCCAAAAATGTGGAATTGAGAGCCAAACGTATGGCGATGGCGTTACAGGTCACTTCGCCACGCCGCCACGCCCATCTGCTCCATCGAAGCTGGTCGGGGTTGGAATCCTCAATACACCAACATGTTTTCTGTGTCTTGGCACAGTTTCATGTTGATGAGGTCAAAGGGGTCAGATAGCGACCATTCACAGTAAAACATTACAC